CTAAATTTCCATAAGAGCGGCTGCCATTGCCGATGTAAACAACCGAATACATTTGCGGTTCGCCGAAAAGTAGCCTGAGGAATATAGATTGTCTTACCTTGTATGTACGCTCAACGTCATTAATGTCCTGGACTTACCGATGGAGATTACCTATTTAAATTACATGAGCGAGACAGAGACAAAACTAGATTTAGGAGCCCAAGCATTAACGACGCCGAGTGTATCCCAGTTGCAATTTCTATCTGACATCGAAAATATTACAGAACGTAAATATAAATATGGATGCCGAATGAAAGAGACAAGAGAAAAGCACATAGTGACACGTTACGAAGAAAAATGAGCTTTTAGTCTCGGGGAAAAATAGCTCGAAATCTGATTATTGGATCGGTTGAATTGTGCGGGCGTGTGAAGACGCATGAAAATTGTGGTAATACTATAAATATTAATGGTCCTATTTGATGCATAATATATTTCTAAATCGTTACAATAGACTATGGTATTCCATGATGCACGTTGAAATTTCCAGTTTTCTCAGTTGGCATGTAAATTTAAAGGAACTGACAGGTCGTCGCCTTCCTGTTATATCAAGATACGAGGACGGTATGTACAATTAGGAACATTCACTGTCATTTAAAGTGCTGGTTGTACCACCAATTGGTCTCGCTCGTTGGAAGATTTGTCTCGCATTGACCATAAACAGCATACAGTCGGCTCCATAGAGTAATCAACCAGGAAATGACACAACCATGAACCACAGATAGTAAAGTCAGATGTCTGATTCGGACGCCATGACTCACATCCCACGCAACTGTCCCCGTCAACACTGATATAGCCGCCTCAGAATCCGTGATTGATAATGGTTATTTATTACAGTGGAAACTAAATTCAGTAATAAGCTCATATATACGTGCACAGATAGCTTACGAGTGTATCACAGTGGCACGTGCCATTGAAATTTATCAAATGCGTATCCGAATGAAATAATTAAAGATTTACGTACTCACGATATTATTAGTTCAATTAAAAATCCCAAGAACGGCACTGCTGACGTTGACAAACTTTGAAATAAGTGTATCTCGCTGCTAACCTAAAATATGTACATCCGTCCGTAGAGAAGTAGAAAACCGGTTTTGTAGCCGAACGTAGCCGTTGCGCGTGGACAGACACATTAAGGTAGACTCGTCAAGATTAGTTATTTGCATAACATCAAATAACACAGTGCCACGGAAGCATAAGACGACTTCCATTCTGCTTTCTATGTGGATGGATTAAATTCACGGATATGACGCCACGAGATGCTTCTTAACCGCTTTGCAACGCTCGTCGTTAATCTACCGGCGTGGGGCCACCGTGTTTGTAGCAGGCTCGCTAACATCACGGAGGAATATGCCGAGTGCGGACTTACGAACGTATCCTTGAGAATCATAAAGATGTAGATCAAGGCTGACGAAATGTCTGCGAATTTTGAGAATACCATATTTATCGTATATGTCGGATGCAAAAGTAGAATTATTGTAGAATGGGTAGGTATAGGATTAGAAAGAGAACTGTTTCGGAGGACTTAACAAAAATATGACGAATATTAATAGCACCGTTGAAACTTTATGACGTTGGCTAACGTTGTCTGTGCTCAGACTTATTTCGGCGGTCATCGTCATTGGAATCGACGCAGCAAGTGGTCACTACCTTGGCACCGACCTACTCAAAGTGACGCTCAAAATCTTATTGTAGCATTACGCTTACATTGCCAGATAAATACTAGCCACGTGTAGCCCGCATTGTCGAATGCGAAAAACATGCCAGAATTTCGTAACGCCCGCTTAAAATTAGTGGCTGCGTTTTTTTTTATTGGAATAATTTATGGCTGAAATATCAGTGGAATCATTATAGACGCCATTTAATCAATAGAGACTAATGTATCAGTCTGCATGTGGATAAAATGTAGATCTGGTGGAGAGTGACACAATGTGGAAATGTAAACGTTTTTAATTAATCGATAACTCCGTAATGTTACCTTGGCTGGAATGAAGCGTCGCGACGTAACATGACAGTGGGATAATTTCAATTAAACAGCGCTGCACGCCAAGATAAACGTGTAATGAATTTTTGTATTTCTTGAAATTTTATATTACTGATTTTCATGAATTTTTATTTGATTTTAATTCTCTTGCAGTGGGAAGCTTCGATCGAGGCTTCTAAATCGAGACGCTGATACATACATATGTATTAGATGTAGATACGAGAATGTAAAAATAATAAGGACTTTTCGAACGGAGAACTGTCTGCGATCGCTAATTTCGGAGTGTGACTAATAATTTTGAGTGGGTTAGGCGCCTGGGTCACAACCTAGAAAAGAGAGAGAGAGGGAAAAAAAGAAAGGACTCAAACATCCAATAAAAGTATACACCTGCGTAAATTGTGGTTAAAAGTCGCTTCGCAAACCGGACTGATTGCGTAAATAGAATTCGTTTGAATTTATATAATCTGTGAAATTAGTAGTTTCTTCCTTGAAACTGTGTCAGGAAAGTCAAAATACTCGCCACGCGCGAAATATCTTGAAATAATTCTCAAGAAAACGTATAGCTGGTAATGTGTCTCTTATATCTTTTGTAACATCCGTAAACCAAGAGACAGAACCAATCATAAATATAAGATGCTGAAACATAGAAAGCATATACTACAAGAGGAAAAATTCCCAAGATGAACTTTGGACACGATATAAATAACATTTCTTTTCTGAGAATGTTAAAAACATCGTTGTCTACGTGTAAGAATTTAGTATATGTTACAACACACTCCTATCTCCCACAGAGCATCTTGATATAAAAGTGTGAATGCTTATCAAACGTTCTAAATATTAATTAATGACAGTCGCTAACCTAACCTTACATAAGATGAATCCCTCTTTATCTATATTTGGAATATCATCTGTGCCATACGTATGCAAGTAAATATTTGCTATACAATTGGCATGAAGAAGCAAGAAGGCTCTGAAGATTCATTTGCGTTTCTTTTTTTTTTTTGGTTATGTGATAAGAGGAAATTAACATTCGGCGCCATTAGGACGTGACGCAGCATGTCGGTATTATCAGGTCGGCACATCAGACACATGCCAGCAGACAAGATAAGAATGGGAGCAATGAAGGCCACGAGTGTTGCTGTTAGACACGGTACGACCTCGGGTTCTCGAAATCCGCAGAACCGGCCATTCCTTTCTAAATTGCTGAAACCGTTTGTGGATCTGTTCGTAGCCTATTTCCACCCTAGATTCCTTCTTTTAAGTATCAATAATTCATTGGTCATTCGTGAGTCACATGCGCATGTCTCCTAGAAAGAGATTCTATTATTTTTCGCGTTTTATAACTGTCAGTTTGTATGCATTTAAAATATAGGTTAAGTAGGTACGTGACGATATCTGGATCTCTTATCAGAAAATTTATTTTAACTGATACGACCACTGTGTATTGTAACAATCGCCCAGCAAGTTGCAATTGTTTCTTAATTTTCGACTCAGCTCAGTTCAATTATTTTACAGGGAATACTAAATCATCCTGAACGTACGTGTCTCTGTCTGTATTCCTCAACTTTACGTAATTTTTTATATCGAGATACGTGCGTGTACATAATGACAACAGCCCGTATTCAGAGCTCGCCTTTGGTGCTAATAGCGCGCTTTTAAATTATTTTTTAGTGACTTTTAATTAAAAGCAACTCTGTTAGTGACTTTAAGAGCGAGTTCTGAATACGGGCTAAAGGCTCGTAAGGATAGACAGGTTTTTTTCGTGTTGAGATACATATTGCCAATAAAGATGATATTTTATATGAGACTTCGTTCTTCAAAATTTTCTTTACAGTCAGCGACGTCCATTCTTAGAACCACGCGCTTCTTACAGGCAGATCGACGTCATGTCATGTTTACAAACAATCGATGGAATTTCTCAATTGTTTATCGTACGTTAAATATCCTACATGCATACGGTAACCACGTGGAAGACCTAAAGCTACGTACTTAATTCTCTTCCCTGATCTACGAACTCTTCGTTCACGACATATTACATAGAACCCAACCTAACATATTATAGCTATACCTAAGTATATTTAGTTGAACGTTCGAAAGGGTTGCCAGGGTGTGCCGCACCCTACCACGCATCTCCTTGGCCAAATGGCTGGGTGCGTCTGACTTCTCTTATCGACTTGAGTATGCCGTGAGTACCGTTGATGCTTTCTTTCCCTTTCTCTTTGGACATTGATTCTTGTGTGATACGCACATCTTTCCTTTATTCTACGTTAAGGATCGACTGGCACAATGCCGATTATCGACTACAAGATCGACGAGGTCGCCCCCTACTTCTTATAGGTTATGACTTTCGACGAAACAGCCTTGCCAGCTTCCGGATTCCGTAATGTAGGAACTGCCGATGGTCGATCACCTCTGGCTATAGGAATGATTACGAATCGCGGGGAGCGACATATATGCTTTCTTTCTTTTATTCTTTTTATACGACGAGGTTAACGACACGAGACAAGAACTTGCGAACAAGGAAGATGGAAAAAGGTCTGATGGAATTCGAAAATGTCAAAGTAAATTCTTTCATGAGTATTATTGAAATTAATATACCTGTCATATAATTTAGGTTATAAAACTTAACCACCGTCTCTTCGTATCAAGTGGAAAGTTTTGCTGCGAAATCAAGATATTGGAATCGATGCTTTATAAGAACAAAAAAAAGATGCAACGTGGAAATACCGGTTTCTGGCGAGTGACGAGTGTCTTATATCCACGTATAAAAGTATTGCTGAAGGTAATGTGAGTCCGTCGAGAAACATTATTAGACTGCATAGAATTAATAGCGTACCGATACATAATATAAATCCGCATTAGAGTGAGTTTAGCCAATGCTCGAGTTCAGGCTTTTACAGCCTTACGGCACTTGGCAGTGGGATTACAGGATTATTCCGTAACGACGATGTGACGTTCATCCGTAGAAGTACGTGGGCAATTTCCAATTTGCTTCTAAGCAGTAAAACATTGTGTTCAACGCGTTACTATTATACGATATATATTAGTATGTCACGATAAAATGCATATCTATCAAAAGAATGACAGACTTCATTACCGTGACATTAGAAGCTGTTTTTTTGATCCAAAGAAATATCACGAACAGCATTGAAACTTTTTTAAGGGTATACAGTTTCTGGTTTTTTTTTTGTATCTTCGTGGAACCAATGGCAACCATTTACCCTTCTACTTTGTAGCGCATATATTTAAAAGAGTCTGTTCAGCGAAAAGGGTCGCCTTACAGAAACAACACTGCGCACCCTTCGGACACGCACGGAGTCATATACATACATATCAAGCATAAACCTATGAATAACTGGAGTTGTTATAAGTCTATTAATAAGACAAAATTCTTCTGAGCATTGTACCAGACACGTGTAACGGTAAGCTTGGTGAATGCAGTTGTGAATTTTTTTGAAACTATTCTTGCAAAACCTGTTATCGCTATACGCACTATACCTACATTCTATAGGTCTATAATAATCCCCCTAGTGTCAGGATCCTATGGTATCTCCTGGATAACAATTCCTTATAATAATTATTCTACCTGCTTATAATACCGTATAGTATTATATCCGCCTTATAATACGCTGCACTTTTTTCTCCTTTAATATATTATATATAAAGAATATATATATTATATAATAAAATATATAAACTCTGACATAATTATCTAGTGAGCATTCCTGTTTCTGTAAGAGAAAATATAATCAAGCAATGCGTTTCATAGTTTCTGACAGATTCTAATTGAAACGCGCCTTGGCAGTACTTGATTCTGATTGGTTGGTTTCCTTACGTCTTACGTCGTTACCTTGTTTTGTGTGTGAAGGGCTGTACTGACAGCCCGTGCGTAAGTCTCTTTTTTTTTCTTCAAAGTTTACCTTTCACGCGGGTATCATTTATCGAAGGGAAGGTGTGTCGTTGATTCAAAGTGATTGTTCATCTCGAAAGTAAGCAACGAAAGTTAATTTAATCGGAGAGTGATTGTAAATGTTTTTTCTTCTTCTTCGCCTCTCACAGAGGCTCTCATTGCGGATGGTGGATAATTGAGGAAATTTATTCTACGGGAAAGTCTCCGATCGGATTTCAGCTAGGCGCATATGTAATAATCGTGTCATCAGGGTCAAAGTTCAAGGTAATCGTGTTACCTGCATCCACAACGTTAGCTGCACGCATAGGTTGTAGCTAACGTATACAAGCTGGCTTGGGTCGTTCTAGTCTGGTAGCCACGCGGTCACAGGTTCGCGTTACAAGGACGTGGAAATATTTTGTGAAGTGATACGAGAAGCGTGTGAGTATCTGCTTGATTTTTAAAATTCAAAAAAAGATACGTACCATCTGGATTAATTAATTTCAGGTTAAGAAGAACTCGAGGGTGCATCGAGGATCCAAGAGAAATTCACAACAGTAGAGTTTCACAAGTATTAGCACTGCGTGTCTGATGATCTGTCACGGTGGAAAGTCCTGACAAGAGCTACTAAAGAGAGGGGTCTTTTGAAAAGGACTTTACATCTTTTTAAGATAGTAATCCAAAAGGAACTGGGTCAACGTCTATTTCGTTTCTTAATGATAGCACGTGGTCCGCTGACAATCAATATGGAGATTATTTGATACTGTATTTTTATAAAATCACATTCGGTTTGAGGATCTGATGAAAGTAATTTTTTTTGTCAACCGTTCAGATATTTTAACTGGTAAGAGATCGATTGGAAGACCATTGACGTTCTCGAAACGCTATGACGTTTTGTTAAGTGCCAATACGACCTCGTGCACGACGGCAGCACGTTCGGTGTCGTTCGCAGATTGGGAGACACTGGCGAAATGAATTCGAGCCGACTAGAAAGTAAGTACAGGAAGCCAAGGGGGACGAAAGGAATGGCATTTCAGGAATGGAGCAGAAGAGATAGGTCGTAGGATCGAAAGCGAACGTCCTCCCTATCGGTTTCGAATTCCAAGTTATTGCTCCCTGAGTGCACCACGTCACTGACCTCTTCTGCTCTGCGTCAGAGTTCTTGATTTTTCTTTTCGTTACTTCCATCACACAGATACACCCCTTCGTGGCGTCGCGTGTCAAAATGGGGAAGTCGTCAAGGGCAGAAGCATCGATTGCAAGGAAACAAACCCGCAAGGCGGTTTAAAAAAAGCGTATGACCATATCGCGGGATTATAAATTAATTCATTAATGTCCTCGAGTGGTTATAAGATTTAACCAGGATTTCTATGTAACGACGGGTATATAATATATTTAAGGAGGACATCAGGTTATAGACGTATGCAAAAGTTCACAAAATAAATTCAGATCTGTCCTCGGTATCGATGCAAAGTCATTCGACTTTATAACGAAATCACCGTATATGGTGATAGTCGCCGCAGCATTCTCGATTATGTTAAAAAAAAAGACGTAGAAAAAATGAAAAGTAGCGGAATATCTAAGTAGTAAGTCGCGAATAATTTTCTGGGATTACGACGGCTACTCGTGTCCGTCATTACGTCACACGTCCTTTCACTCCATTTATACAGTATACAGCAAGCACGAAGCAGCACGGTAACGGCGATTGAAACCTACAGGTATGTGAAGTTAGGTTAGAATCCTAAAACTCACGAATAGACGTAGTTTAAGCCTTGGTATGTAATAACACTATGTATAACAGTGGTGACTGCTAACGTTTCGTTAACCCAGGGTACTTGTCGTCTGTCGAGACTGAAGTTCATTAATGTTAATTGCCATGACTCCCATTGTCATCCAAACGAGCAAGGAACAATTCCTCGTGGTTGAATTCGAGAAATTTCAAACTTCCCGCGCACTGGACCGAGACTACGTTCACGGCCAATAGGATCGCTTATACCGCTCTTACCAACGGGAATTCTAAAGAGTGCAGACATCATTTTCAATCCTATTATCTGCCGTTTCCTTGGTCGTGCTCTTCTTTCCGGAAGGAGGAATGCCTGAAATTATTTCCGCCATACTTACCCGGTCAGCGAAACACTCTTGTAAAACCTATAGTACCTTTGGTGGCGTCTGAGAATGGAATTCCTAGTGCCAGATGGAATATCGCCAGCATGCTGTATAGTCCGCACGAATACAGGAGAAGAGTTCTTGATCTACAGTATTTGAACGTATCTGTACATACAGTATATCTACGAGTAATAAATGAGATTTTTGATCCAGTTCAAGGTCGGCCGATCATGAAAAAAAAGTGCCCGAAGGAAACTCACCTCGACGCACGTATCGATCCTTTACTAAAATAATTAACTTCTAGGTATTATACACACTTTACATATGTATCCCATCTACTAGGAAACCTTAAAAAATATATTTACTTCCAGATATCCTGATTTGTGCTCCCTGTCATCTTTTTTCCATCCTTATGACACTTCACCCGGTACATAACCTGTCTACGTATATCGACTATGAAGCAGCGTACTTCTGTATACGAGTACTCGCCGTCTCGTCTCCACAAGACAATACCCTGGGTAAGGTCGCACGTGTCGGAACCCTTGGCTCCCATTATACACGTGCCTACGTCGATTCTGAGAGACAACTTGACCTGAGGAATCGCGAGCATTGCAATGCACATGATTTGTACCCGTGATAAAGGTGCGATATCTGTTTGTCAAGAAGTCCTGAATATATATCGGTAGGAATTTTAAGTACGCATATAGAACATTATTGGGCATCGTGATGCGAATTTCAAATGATAATCAGATTAAATGATAAGAGTTCTAAGGCTTGTTGTGTAGAAGCTTTGCAGAACAAAAGCCTCTTTGGAGCCAAATGGCAAGATGACAGAACATAAACCGTACCACGCGGTGCAAAGTACGTAGTAAAGTGTACACACACATATATATACAATGTGCATTATAATTGCGTAACCAGTAGCGAGCCCAGGGAGCCTTGGTTATACAGAAGTATGCAAAAGTACGTTGCGAGAACTTAGATACGTGAATCCATTGGGAATACGTATCACGATGTAGTTAAGAGTCTCAGGTAAATTATATGCGTTTTTATTGTTCCCTGGACAGACTGTGATATTATCTGTTTGACCTTGAGGCAAATTCCAGTGAGGATGCAAGACAAAAGCGAATGGCGGAAGATAACGTTTCTGTTAGTGGCTATGGCGGTACATGCATTGGTCAACAGGACGAATTCATTTTAAAAGTCTGTGGATGCTACTATTGGGCCGTAGCCAGACCGATAACAGTTTCCTGGATAATTTTCCTGGTACGTGTAAAATTTTCTTTTACACTACTAAATTCCTATAGGAATTGTTAAACCTGAGGAATTCGGTTTCTAAGATTTTCTTTTTTCTTTAGGAACGCTACCTGCGGAATGAATGTTTTTTCTGGGGTAGCATCTTCAGAGTTTATTTGGATCTGAATTATAGGCGGCTGTTCGCGTACGTGTTTATGTATTGGAAAAGGATTGACGACAATTGGGTATTAATCAGGTGAAAATATAACAATGAACATGCTAACGTCACGCGTTATAATTCTGAAGAATGCGCGGCTTGCGATTGGTACGTCATGGGATACGATTATTGAAATGTTGATTGATTTAAATCTGACTCTTATGGTAATACACGTGACGTCATACATATGATCGATTACGTTTAATAATTGAATTTGGCAGAGTACACGTGAAAATCTATCACGTTGTAGGCAAAATAGGTAAATTCTAATTTGATTAGAAAATTATATGGTATATGTATATATTACATATACGTATGTGGTGTATTTACGTCATACCGTAAGAATTCTTATACGAAACTGCCGGCTTTCAGGGACGGGCTCCTTCGGCTTGCGGTTTTTTTCATCGTCAAAAAATACTGAGAACTACTGTTATTTCGAACGCCAAGTACATCGACGAGACATTAACAAGACCCTGCGTGGATTTGACCAGCTTCAATGAAAATTACGACTGCTATTCGTATATGAGATTCTGACAGATGTTATTCAAATTTAATATCGTCCCGGGTGTCATTTATCTACTTCTATGAATGACTGTACACGCGGTTTCTCTATTATAGTTTCCTATGGCACGACGTACGCAATAAGAGCGGATACTCATTTTATATTGAAGATCGTAAAGGGACATTTCTATGGAGCGACACTAAAGTAAGAGCAAATAATGCTATCTGAAATTAGACTGTTTTTATGTCTATAAGTCAAACAGTTCCTTATTTATTACATATCGCCTTCTGAGATCATTAGGTATTAAGGAAAACATGTAATTAAAAAGTCAAACACTTGTACAGTTTAGATAAATAATCGATTTGAAGAATCTAGTCTGATAGCACTGAACAAGATTGAGTATAGGAATGAATTCCTATCAAGAAATTCTATGTCAAATGATTCTTTGAATTTTCATAAAAATAATTACCGACAACCTTGACAGCTTAGTACGTATTGAAGGTTTGTGATATTTTTGAATTGTCTTCGTAGGTTTCCTGGTGCTCGTCTTGTCTTCTGCTGCTTTCACGGATCATTAAATATCATTGAAGTCGTAGTTAAAAGCATGAATATACATCAGCTTCTTGTGTCCATGAATTTCAACTGCGCCATCTCTCACGACACTATTAAATTTCATGTTATGCGACAAGCAGCAGGAACCTGTGAGACGAACAGTCCAGTGCTGTAGATAATAACACAAAAGCACAGCTTAGCCCGATTGAATATGTTGTGGCATGAGTAAATAATTACTGTTAGACCAGTTGTTATGCAACGAAGCAACGGCTGGATAATTTCTAGGAGTAAATTCCACTGCAAGAAGATAAAGGAAAGACCGACAGTCTTATCGATGTTGTAAATTCAATATACATATTTGTTCAGACGATGCACGAAATCCACTGTATGCCCAATCTATTTGCGTGGGCGATAATAAGAATGACGATCAAACGTGAAGACGTTGATAAGTATTATCAAAATTTTATATAGTATAGTGTGTAATATATACATAGTTATTCAGGAATAACGCACCTAACCTAAAGATAGTTCTTGCTATTTGACTTCTATCAATTCGTATAGTAGAGCTATCTTCAGGTGGCGCAATAGTCCTGAGTAACCTTGTAACCCTATATAATTTTTAAACAAAGGAATGGTCGCCCAATTTTTTTCTCCATTTGAAATGCATTGGGTATCAGCTGTCTCGGACACTCAACGCACCTATTCCTGGGTTAACGATGATAAAGTAATAACGATTGACTGTGTAAAGATAAAAAGTTTAAGCTATCCGTTAATTCCTTCTTTAATATTGTCAACCGTAAAAAAAAGAGCCACGTTATCGCTTTGCCAGTGTCACATGCAGTTTTGTAATGATGTATAAAAATCAGTACACGAATTCTTACCGTAGTTTGATACCTTCCAATCAATGTATGTTTATCAATTGAAGATACTCGTGCAAAACAAATATGTATTCCCACGACAAACGGTCCATAGTCAATTTACATTATTTTTACATTGTTCAATGACAGGATTAGTATCAGAAAAAATATACAAAATTTTATTTCGTACTGTCACGATATCTACGCGCCTGTTAACGTCATGTATTATCGGTCCAATGATATTATAAAAATATTACACGGTTTATCATTACCGATCGATATCGATCGTACAGGCAACAATGATTTCGATAAATGTTATACTGAAGTCGTCATGCAACGCAACATTAAAATCGCAATGTCGATTTTAATCTCTTCAGTGACTTTCTTCGCATATTTAAAGTATTTTTATTATCGTCTATCCTCTTTTACTCCCTTTCTTCTGACCTTTGCCCTTCTTTCTTCCTTGCTTTCTCTGTTTCTTCTCCAAGAGTTTTCGCGCCTTCAGAATCTGTTCAGGTCTCTTCAGTTCGGCCTTCGACTTAGCCTTGTCCTTAGTCTTTTGATTATGCCGCGCCCAATGAGTGTTTGCTGTAGTTCTCACTGAAAGGATAATAATAATAACAGTTAAGCTAAGTGAGATTCATGGAAAGAAAAACGGAATGGTTTGAGCATTTATGGCAGATCAATAAGTGACTATGCCTATGGGTTTGGCATTGGAGGTAACGTGCTGTTTGCTATATATATATGTACATCGTACGTGGGAAAATTACAGAGAGCAAATGATGATTAATTAGTGGAGGAGAGGAAATTGAAATGAATGTACGGCGGTAAGTTGCAATGTGAATCTAAGGGAGACGAGTAGAGTCAGATGTTGCTGTGATAAATTTTGCTGCAACGTCCATTAAGCTGGCAACCAGTGCACTTGAAAGATATCAAGATACTTTTTACTGCTTGCGTTATCGCGTTGATATTTTTATTTTTAGTCGTTGACTTTTGTAACCTCTTGTGGTATAGAATCTATCAGATATGAAAGTCGAAGAATTTTACAGTCCGCTAGAAATAGAGATTATGTGTGCTTGGACGTGTTCGCTATAAGTCAGAAAATTATATCCATAAAGCATTGCGTTAAGTACCACGGAAAACATAAGGTGATTCTTTGATGATATTTATGGCATACAGATCAGACAGAAAATTTTGAGCGATTGGCAAAACAGTATGGAATATTTGTTTTATCTTGTTATCGTTTAGAAACGAGGACGTGATTTTATCCACGTTTACGTCCAACAAATATTATTGTAAGAGTCAACGCATTGCTCGAATAGTTTAAATTATCAACTATTGCAGGTAGAACCTTGGATTATAATTCAATTGGCAAGTAGCTACTGAGGCTGTATAAAGTGTTAGATCTCGAATTTATTCTAACAAAATGTTCAAGATTGATAATAAACCAACTTCCGCAACGTCTGAACAACCGGAAATTGTTTTGCCGGAAATGATGAACGATGATATTACTCTGAGAGATAATGCAGTCAGTTGGAATGCCGAGAATGCACCATACTTCTTAGTAACTTTCAGAGACGTGCCTTGAGAAAGAAAAATCCAGATCAACGATATCAGGTACAGTTGAAGATAAATATATTGATTATTTTCTTTCTGAGGAAAACAATGACAACATTGCAGGAATCCAAAGTGTCCAGAGTCATCAGTCACAGAACTCAATGGGTATGCTATAGCAAGTTATAAGTGACAAGATAGATGTATTACAGGAGGTTATCTATCTATTACTGTACCGGTCGCCATATACATTGTGGCAATAATAAGAAAAAAAAGTGTCGTCGTGCTTTTTCCTGATAAACCCTGCTTCATTTTTGAAGATTGAATCCCGGTAAGAAAAGACAAAAGAATGATCAATTACATCAGATACATAGAACAAAGGATTAGCTAGTCAGCCCATGGTGTTAATTGGCTCCAGGTATAATACATTATTGAACTAATTGCAACGTTTTTATTCAGTAGACAGGAAATTGAACTACGCGATCTTCTTGATTACACTGAAAAATATACTATAATATGGGAAAGTTAGGAACGTTCTTTGTTACACAATATCTCATGCGTTACCACCTTCTGCCTAGAAGGGGATGGGACCTTAGGAAGATGCCATTGGTGTGCTAATATTTAGATAAGAGACGTTAAACATGGCTGAGAATTCGCAGTGTAGTTACCTACGCGTTGATAAACAGTTGATAATTTAGATAATTGTTTTCTATCTCAGAATAAACAATTGTTTCTTTAACGACTGGTGTTCTTTTACTTGTTCTTAGGATTCTGTACCTTAGTCTTGCAAAATGTGTAATACATATATAAGATCCGGTAAGGAAATTTGGAAGTCTTTGATTTATTCAGCAAGTGCAAAAGCTCTGGCAAAACAAATCACTGCAATGGTAGACAGACCAATGACCTGCTTCCTGTGTTTAACTGCGGCCAGATTGGTCTTGGCTTGCCGCAATTTGTACTAGAAGCACGTTAAGGATAAAAATACCCACGCACTGCCGTGCCCTTATTATCTGAATAAACCAATTAGAGAAGCTGTCTGCTGTAGTAATCATTCCAGTCGTTACTACACTGATTTGATTATATATGGTTAGTTAACAGTATTTAAGACATTAGACTTTTATAGATATTTTAAAAGATGTGATTATGCATATGGACGATGTCAGTAGTACCATAGAAAATCTATGAATCATAGATCATTAATCCGATTGACAAATAAGTATAAAGCAGACTTACGTTTTTGTAGTCGAGGGTGTTCATCCTCGTCATCTTCATCCTCCATGGCATCCACTTTACTCTTCTCTTTCCATTGAGCATACCGGTTGGTCTTGTACGTGGCTGGAATCCATGCACCGGATTCTGTACGGATTTTACCAACCTTTGAGTCCTGGTGAAAACAGAAAAAATGTCCATACAGTCAATAGAGCTTAATGATTGGTCTAATAATTATTTATAGTTAAGATAATGTGCATACATTGCTGACGGTTATCATTTTCTTCTTTTTACGATCCCATTTCTTCAACTGCGTCTGAAGCCTCCTGGACTCTTCGTTGTCCGCAGACAAATCCAACTGTACTCTGTCTGCATTAGCGGCAAAGCTGTTTACGGCCAGACTGAAATATGGAAATGAAAGTTGCATGTTTGTTAAAACAGCATCGTTGATACAATAGGAATGCATTTATGTAAAAATGTAAATAAACAATATACCCGTCCTCTGTATGTTTATCTGGTGCTGCGTATGGAATATAAAATTCCTCGTCCCGGGTGACCGTACGCTTCTTTTTCTTTATGTTTTTGTAGAGATCGTCAACTTTCCGCTTTTTAGGCGCGACGATCTCACTGAAAGCTGCGCTGATCTCGTCAGCGCTGCTTGATGGAAGTATTGACTTTTTTGATGATACTGTAAGAAAAAAATGTTTCCTTGTTATTGGGAATGTACAATGAATTTCATGATTCATCGACACTAATACCTTTTGCAATGTCTGCTGCCTTGTCGTCCAGTTCCTCCATTTTTCTATGATAATTGGCTATACTTTCTTTGTGAATTGCTCTCTTTGCCTTCATCACTGTATAATCTACCGAGGATGGTTTGGCGCCTATTTCGAATATTGTCTGCAATGTGTAAATAAAGGGCGTCGAAACAATTAATAGTAACTTATTTATTAATTGATATACTACGCACTCCTTGAGGTCGGTAATTCTTCATTCTAGATAATAAGTCTGCAGCTGCTGGTGTGACATCACAATATTCGGCAATTACTCCAGCTTGTGATATACGTAACTCTTTAACTCTTTTGACACTCTCAGTTGAGGCCCCTGGTCTTGATCGAATATATTGCTGGTAAGCATTGTCGCACACTTTCTGCATGTTTATCTGTGCGGGTGTTAAAATATTGATAATAAAATAGAGATTTGTACATCTTGACATTTAAATTTTGATATAAAACATTTCTATAAGACTTACAAGATCTGTGGTGTTATCGTGCCAACACATTAATTCAGAAAGTTCTTCCTCGATCATTGATTGTGGCATTTTTCCTATTGCTCCTTCAGGAATGTTTCCACTGCCTGATGATGGAACTATGTGGAATGGACGACCAAGAAATAGATGTAAATCTAATAGGTAGGCGTATTCATCAGGAGAAACTATATTGTAGGCCGTTCCACTACGACCAGCACGTGCACAACGACCTGAAAACCAAAGGATTGTCTGATGCCGTTACGCCATTGCATTTTATAAACTTTTATTCAGTGTTAGATCAGATACCCACCGACTCGATGAACGAAGAGCTTGCACTTAGCAGGAAAATTATAGTTAATCACGTTGTCTAAGTGCGGTATATCAATTCCTCTTGCTGCAACATCAGTTACAACGAGAACTTTCACTCTACCGGCTTGAAACTTGGCTGCATTTATTTTACGCGCAGAAGGATCGAGATTAGAATAAATAAATGTGTTGCTGATATTCGCTTTATCTAGGATCTAATCAAGAATATGTTTATCTTTAGTACATATTTGGATGCTGCGCACAGTTTTCTTTTCAGTTTGCATAATACTCACCATGTGGATGTATTCTACATGATGCATTGTAGCAGCAAATACTAGAGTTTGTGACTTGGGTTTTACAATATTTTTTAACAGGCATAGGAGCACTGCTAATTTTTCTTCAGGGCGGCATGTAATAAAGGAAAGCTTTAACTCTTCTGGTAATTTGCTTTCCACATCTAGACGTATTAGAACGGGGTCGCTAAGTCCTGCTTTTGCAAACTCAACTAGAACTTTAGGTAATGTAGCAGAGAATAAAAGTGTTTGTCTGGACTCTGGTAGCCTATTTGAGATTTCATGGATTTGTTCTCCAAAACCCATTTCAAAGAGCCTAGCACATATAAATAGAAATAATTAGTACGGGTTATATCACAATGTTTTTAAAGGTATTTTTTAAATCAAAAATAACCTGTCGGCCTCGTCGTAAACAATGTATTCAATGCTTGATAATTTAAGATCCATTTCGACACATATATGAAGAAAACGACCTGGTGTTGCTACAATAATATCTGGATTACCATGTATGGTACTGAACTGATTATCCATACTGTCTCCACCTAATATCACTGCAGCTTTTAATCCAGTAAATCTTCCTAACTCTTTAATAAATTTTAGTGTTTGTAAGGCAAGCTCACGAGTTGGTGAGAGAATTAAAGCTCGTGCACCAGTCTTTGCCTGTCTCACTTTTAATTTCTCAAATAGCGGTATTAAGAAACAGGCTGTTTTGCCACTACCTGTACGAGCCATAGCAACAATATCTCTGCCTTCAAGAGCTAAAGGAATTGTCTGTAAAAAAAAACATAATGTGATATCAATATAATTTTAATTATATTACCTCCTTTAGCTTTTGAATTTATAATGATTATACTTGAAATTTTATTTAATACCTTTCTTTGAATTGGAGTTGGTATCTTGTAACCACGCTTCAAAACTCCTTTAAGAACTTCAAAATTCAAACCCATGGCTTGAAAACCACCAGATTTCTTGGCAAATTTCTTTTTGCCATTCGAAATCTCTTCATCGTCATCATCTTCAACTTCATTTGGATTGGCAAAACCCACAAGTTCTGTGTCCATTGTGATAGCACAGTCGTCTGAACAATACAATTTAAATGACGTTTACAAATTCACCATAATTAAATAAAAATTATGTACTTCTTAACATTATACTAGTATAATAATTTGTAACCTATTATAGCACAATTAACAGAATAAATACTCAGACAAAATTTAATATTAAAATGTGATAAAAAAATAATACCTGTACAATGTCTATATATTTTCCCCCAATAACTCAACAAACTAGGAATTAAATTTGTTTTATTTATTAATAAATCTCACTCTCAACAAACGTGGTAAAGCATATGATACATTTGACACTATAGTCCATGTGGTAAGCTTTCTTAAACGCGAACTTTCATGGTTTTACCCACGGTCTTGTATATAGGTATGGACACTTCCCTATTCTCACCACGTTATAGCTTGTAACCGTAATGTGGACGGTTTTGCCAGCAATCGCTAGTGTCGAACAAGCCTGCTAATAGAGCGCATGCGCATCCGTAAATTCACTACACCTCTTATCTCCGATTCAAAAGGAAAGTTACACATAAAAAACCGATGCGATGCCAATTAAATCAAATTTTGATAAGTTAGACAAATAAAAATTGATGATTTAAAAAACTAAAGTTAAATGGACCAAAACACCTAAAAGCCATGAAAATTAAAATAGTCAATTTTTGCTTGTATCGTAACTTTTTTTACTGAATTTATTTGTAACTCCTGTGAGATTTTCAAATGCAAATTCCTATCATTGTGATTCAAGCAGGCACGATGCACTTTCTGTCGGACATTGTTGCTTATTTCAATTGCAATCACGGTATATTACACATTACAACGAGCAAAGCTGCAAGTTACATATTCAAGAAAGATAATTGCGCACGCGTAGCGCTACCACGTGTAGGCTCTTTCAACACTAACGCTTCTTGCGGTAGTGACAACCTTATTGTTATGCGTTTTTCGCCTAAGTGCCCAGACCCGTATACAAGATTGTGCGCGATACCGGCGAGTCCGGAAGTAGAATTTTATGATCATCGCCTCCGTCGATAATACGGATTCCATTGTATCCGAGCTGACCGCGATCATGAACGTGTAGTTTGGCGAGCAGAAGCTCTCCGCTACTTACCGCTAATTTAGAGGGAAGGCTTTATGTAGTATAAAAAAAGAAAAATGGATATTTTAAAAGCCGAGATAATGAAAAAGCGAAAACAGTTGGAGGAAAGCAATGTCTTGGTATGTATTTATTTTATGAAGGATTAAGACTGATTCCTGACAGCTTAGGGCTTTAGGTTATGAATATTTGGTGTCATGTACTTTAATTAGTAATGAAATTCTATGATAATGTATTATTGTTTTTGTACGTATAGGAAAATAATAAAAAGTACTTCAGAAGGGGTGAACTGTTGTCGAAGGAAAGAGAAACTGCCCAGAAACATGGTAGCAATAGCGATACAATTGAATCAAGTGTTAGTCAACACTCTGAAGAATCTGTAACAAGTAGCAGTTCGGAACATTTGACATTATCAAGACACGAAGTGATTAGAAGGTTACGAGAAAGAGGAGAGCCTATAATGTTATTTGGAGAATCAGAACTGGAGGCTTTTAAAAGATTGAGAAAACGTGAAATTCTTGAACCTGAAGTAAACAAAGTGAGTGATTTTTCTGATTAAAGAATAGTAAAGGTTACTAATATCATAACGACTGTCATTACACCATTATTCTACTTTTCAGGGGTTCAGGAATGATTTTCAAGAAGCTATGGAACAAGTTGATCAAGCTTATTTAAATGAACTGTTAGCAACGTCAAAGCCACAAGAACGAAGTGGGAAAGGTGATGTGCCTGTACCTGATGAAGGTGTTACTTATGAAGATATTCAGAAGATGTCTGTTAGACTCAACAGAGGGGATAGAGACTTTGATATGAGTGTCATTATTCAATTCCTACAATTCTTAGTACAATTGTGGGGCAATCAATTAAATAGTAGAACAGCTGCTGAGAAAATGAGTACTAGAGGGAAGATGGCTAGTGCAACGTATGCCCAGACAAGAGAATATCTTAAACCTCTTCTCAGAAAATTACAAAATAAATCACTGCCAGAGGATATCACAGACAGTTTAACAGAAATCGTGAAACATCTTCTTGAGCGCAACTATATATTGGTATGAGATAATTTTAGTAACAAATAAACATGCTTTGTAATAATACTCTGCTGCTGTATTGAAGGACTGTTAAATTTATGTAATGCAAGCAATATTGTACTTTCAGGCCAGTGATGCTTATCTTCAAATGGCAATTGGAAATTCGCCATGGCCTATTGGTGTCACTATGGTCGGTATTCATGCGCGTACAGGTAGAGAGAAAATTTTCTCAAAGAATGTCGCACACGTGATGAATGACGAAACTCAACGGAAATACATTCAAGCATTGAAGAGACTCATGACAAAATGTCAAGAATATTATCCAACGGATCCTTCTCGATGTGTGGAATACTCCAAAACTTGAGATCAACAAAGTGTACATATATTTTTATATCAGCTATAAGTAATTATGTTAAATATATTATCTAGTAAATTAATAATAGTAACATATATGAATTTCCCTGCCTTTGCAGTATTTATAGATGACAATAATTTTAGCATTATTTGTTCTCTTTCTATGGGCTCTTTACACATGTATATCAAACAGGCCTAACCTTTCCTTTAGAATCTGCACCAGTCTAGACTCACGTCTGTCAACTAAAATTTCACGTAACCGCTACAATTTCTAGATTCTTATAAGAACTGTACATTTAATATTCGATAACAGCCCTTTCAATAAAATTAATGACTTCTTCATATCTAATATTCAAGTATGTCGTGAACGTGTTTTACTAATATCAAAGCTCGTACTTAAGTATTTTATTTGTATACCTAAAGATCATCTTCCAATTGGGAAAAACTGCATGTTAAGATTCTACAAGAAATATTGACTACTTGAAAGAAGAAAAAGATGTTGGAAGAAATGACTAATAGTTGGGCACCCAAATTTCATTCGTTATTAGATTTAACATTATTTTTGCCTTTTGCCCCCAACTTTCAGAATAATCTACAAATTGAAGAAAAGAAAATAGCAGATCTTGATATATTTGTAGGATATTTAATTTTACTTTGGGCAATGCTGTATATGCTCTATGAAAAGTGCCTTAATGTAAGTATATACATCATTACTAAATATGTTAAGACTAATTTATATCAAATATACAAAATGATCCAGAAATAACTCAATGCTTTTTATTAATACAGGTTTTACTTAGATCTATGCGTTTTCCTTTAATGCAAAGAAGTCGGATTATTGATGCTGTGTGGAGTTGTGGGTTTTGCTTCGGGAGCATAAGTTTTTTAAAATTCTCAGCAATGATAACACCAGAACTCTCATCGCTGCAATTAGAAGAAGGACGTCTAGAATTGGGTCTTATTTTACATAAAAGTTTTTATTTACATCATGCAGGAATAAAAATTTTCTGTCGCGGTTCATGGTTGAAGGGCTGGACTGATCTGTTATTTGCTCTATTGATCATAAATTCTCATCAACACAAGTAAATATCTTGAGCTTATCTTTCCATTTTCTTTATTTCTAATACTATGTAACTATTAAAACTATTACCTTTACAGATGGTGTCCAATAATTATTAACATTTTATTCTACAAAACCATTAATACATTGCTCGTTGAGATTTGTCGTATCTCGCTCTCTCTTTGGCAAACCAAATTTGGAAAACTTGTTACTAAAACATTGTTCCTGTGCTACTGCCTTAATTGGTCAGTACAAGAATAATTGTATTACTAGAAATAGTTATTAAACTAGATACTTACTTTCCAGGATATATGTATATACATGCTTTGTGCCTGATTCATTGAGAGAGAATAATAACATACCTTTACAATTATATCTGTGGATGTGGTACATTTCAGAATGTTTAAACTCAGTAGGTAAATGGTCGCTTATTTGTTTAGAACACTCTACTATATGAATTCCTATTATTACAGGTGTGGGTGAAATTGTTGGGAAATTTTAATTCTAGTCATTGGCTTGAAGCGTGCCTCTTTTTGCCACCTACTCCAGAAGCTCTTGAATTAGCACGAATCCGAAAGAGACATAGAGACTCATTGAAGAAGTGAATATTTAGTAATTCAATTAATTTCTATTAAGTTTGTGGATTTCATTAATGCATAATCCTGTTTCACAGTAACAGAAGTAGTACGAAAACGCCGAAAAAGATTGAATTTTGGCGAACTTTACTTTGTAAGTATTTCAACAATAATATTACTGATAAACCAATGACATTTTTTACTTTGCGTTGTAGGTGCAATAGCAATGAAAAAGAAAATAAGAAGAATGCGACAAGCAAAGCAAAATAAGACGCAAACGGAAACAGCTAATAACGAAGAGGAAATTAAAGAAATAACAAGTGAATAATTCATTCATGAAAGTCATTCATAAATGATTCTATGTTAACATAATCAGTTACACAAATTCCAAGAATTCGGCCGCATGCTTAAGATGCAGTATTATCCTCATAAAAGAGCTCTATAGAATTTGCATAACATTGCTTAAGGAGAGTCTCCACTCAGTTGTTTTAAAGTCTGGATACATAACTAATTTTTGATTGAAATGCACATTATCCCAGAAAAGTATAAGGATCCCTTTTAGTTTCTTTTGCTTTATCACACTGATTCCTGTCCCTTTGATTTGTGATGCCTGTGATGTGCTTTAAGCATTGTAGTTTAAGAAATTCCATGTAAGTTTGTATTTTAACAAACCTCCATTCTTTTTATGTAAATATTTAACTTTTTTAGTCCTTTGATAACATGAGAGATGTGCACTTAGCGCTTTTTGCTGCCATTAGCAAATATCCAACAGACCAAATATTTGAATTTCATAAGTAAAGTCAGTCGCCAGTAAATAAGTAATTGTTTTTATATTTATAATCTTGCGCATTTCAAAAACATATACTAATAAAACTATGTTGAACCATTGTTTCTATGTAAATGTTTTTGTCCCTTACACGTAATGGTAGGTCATGTTCCTAATATGAAAATATATGCTCACAATATATAGAACATATCTACTTCTTTCTTTTTTTTTACAAAAATCAAGTTTATTCATCAATTTTATAGATATACAGCTGTTATGTAGAAAGTTTCATCATTGTTTACACGTTTATAATTGAATGGGGTATCTTGCTAATTGCTCTCCTAAAATCTAGATAATCCATTCAAAAGAAATGGCAATTAGCTAGATGCCCCAACAAGGTTGGATTAACCACGATGCGTATTTTATTAGGGCGGGTATTTAGAAACGCAATTTTATAACGTTTTTCTGTTAAATATCAGTTTAACTTCAAACATTTAACGTTAATTACCAGTACGGTAGCATATAGATACAGTGTGAATCTGTTCGTTGAATCAATGTCTTTCAGACAGCACGAAAGTCTCGATGAACCAGAAGCAAATTAATTACATGCATTTAACTATTAATTCGTCAAGTGACGTGAATTCTGTTCGAGAAACTTAAATGCCTTGCGAATAAATAAATTTGCTTCCGACTCAGCGTGAACAGTATATAAATTGTAAATTTCCCTCCGAAGGTCTTTACTCTCCTTTTATCAAGGCAAACGTTCTTTGACTTTACTAAAAACTCGTTCTCAGTGTTCAGTAATTCGTTTAAAATGGGGGATGGTACATTTAGCTATGGCAGTTAATTAGAGAACATACAATATATGAGCGGGTCACGTTATTGCGCAACTTTGAGCAACGAAACTATTTTACCTTTTCTATTTCCTAAGAAGCTTCGAGATGGCAATGTTAGTGTTGTATTGATTCTGCAAAACGTACTTTTACTCATTCGTAAAGAAGGGTCCTTCAGATTTTAATAATTAGTCACAAAAAGTTTTCGCACGATGTTACTCTTTAACTTTCAACCAGGCTATAGCATTTAGCAAGAATTATGGATACCGGTTCTCGCTCACATTTGTACTTTGTGGGAAAAAATTGCCCCGCAAAAATTTGAGTTTTCCGTTGTAGAATAAGAAGAGAAATGAATTAAAGGAAAATTATTCTGCATTTTTTCAAAAGGTACGTACCGTCTCAATGAAAAATATAATACAAGGCCCCATAAGTGCTCGTACAACATGAATAATACCAACTAAAGGATATACGAATTATGTTGTACTACCTGATTCAATGTAACAATCAGAAACTGATAATATGCTGCATGTAAAAGTGAAACTGTAGTCGTACATTTTAATTAGCAAATCTTTCTTTTACGTGAGAAAATTTAAGAAACAATGATAATTTTCGAAATCGGATGTGAAAACGGAGTTTGGCGTTAATGGTTGTTCTTTTCATTGATGTTTCTTTTTAAATGGCGGACGTTCACTCAGATATGTTAGGACATGCATACAGTAATGACACGGTAACATATCCTGCTCTCACTTAAACTAATTACCCTATATCGCATATATGCATATATTTATATCTTTCAATAACATTCACTATATCGTTTACACGATATCTCGACATTTGCACAGACCGTAACCACGTTATTGTTATTATACCGAAGGAAAGGTTTCTATAAAGGTGATTTGCGCCAAAAACTCTCTTTCAATTATCAACTCTGGTGTTTAATATACGAATAATACGTTACTGTCACTCTCGTTGGGTTGTTTAGCAACTATATAAAATATTCAGGCATCTGGTATTATATATTCCTCCACTCAAATGGAAGGGAAACGTGCTGCTGCTGCAAGAAGGCTTTTCTACTATTAATAATGTATACTACTATTAAAAAATGCTGAATATACCTATCCAATATATTTAGACACTCTCGAATATCGCAGACGTTGTGTTTAAAAGAAAAGAAAAAAAAATTAACAAACCAAATAAATTTTGAGATAGGTTTAAGATCAGATTTGAATACATGGTTTAAGATCAGAACTGGCTAACTTCGCTTCGTTCTCGAAGCGAAATATAGTTATGCTTGTCACACTGTCAATTATTGTATATTTATATACTTTAAACACGGAACTTTTAGCATACATTCATATATTTCTAATACAATTAGCCAATTCTGGCAAAGACCAATGAACGTAATTGGATTCTGATCTCGTAGAAATTGAATATGGCAGGTTAATTAAGCTCTTACGTTTTGTGTAACGTAGCGCGAAGACGATTTTTTCCTTTTTTCTCAATATCAGCGAATTGCGCCGAATAAATCTCTTATAAAAATGTGATCCATAAAAATTTAACACCTTTATAAAATTCCTTTCTCCCATTCGAAGATAACTGTTATAGTTATTATCTCTTATGAATGAAGACAGGGTTAGTTGAGAACGTAAGTTTTAATCGAGACATACACACACACGCACACACACACTCACAAAATATCATGCCATTGTTATGTTAATCGTTTGAATAATTGTTATTTTTATTTTTCTCTTCACCTTCTTTTTTAAATGTAGTATCGTTAAATGTTATTTTATATTAGGTAACTATCACTGTGCTTACTTCCGTAACATATAATTGTTTTTTCTTAATTATTCTCATACTCAGCTGCTTTCACGCAATATAGAAATTTGGACAAAAAGGAATAACGATTTCTTAATACGTAAACTTTTATGAAACAACAAAATTATATTACATCATTTTTAACGAATCTTTGACTTTAATAGTACGCTGACGATTTTTACGAAACCGTCAACTTTTTCCCCCACGTTTGTCTTCCTCATTTCTCACCAAGTTTTCATCAGTCATCGATACAATATTTTTGGCCTCGCAAATGGAAATAATTTTTGTTCTTTACCATCATGGCTGCCATTACACAGAGTTGATACGGTAACATTCATTTTCATATCAAAACTGAACGCATGAACGTTGTGCGGTATTTAGCAACAGATTCGAAATTCCGAGTGAATAATTTTTTTTCTGGAGAAAGTGACATCATCGTAGATAAACAGAGCGAAAATACGATAGGGATCGATGATAATGGAAAACAGATTTTTTTTTTTATAGAGTCATTAAGGATCGTTTATAACTCTTTATTACAAACAGACAGTATTGTCAATTACTTTAACAAGAAAAATGAATTTGTTTGCAAGCAAGCCAAGAGGAATTTAGGAAAGGACATTGTCTCGGTGACTGTCAATTGACAGTGACCACTCATATTTTCCACACTGACTGTATACCAATTGTAAGATTTGAGAATAACTAATATCTAATATTTTTCTAGTAAGAAAATAAAATCTCAAACTTTACGGAAGACCGTAACAAAAGAACGAAGCAATATAACTCGAGATACTGTGTAAAACATAAGTATCCTTCCATACACGCTCATGTTTAAAATTTCTTTTTAATAAATATCGATCGTTATATTCACTGGTAATAGAACAAATACAGTTACGAATGTCGTCTTATTACAAACATATATGAGCAATAAAAGTTGGGTCGGCTATTTCAGGCGCGACCCTCTGCGCCATATCGATGCAGATATTTAGAATTTCATTGTATGAGAGAGACAACGCGTGTCTTTCCAGTGAAAATATGGCCCCTTTGCCACAGGCTCGATGTAGAGTTGAGAAACAAATGATTTTCTTCCTGAGTCTGCAACAGGCAACATTAAGTTTCATATATTCGTACTAGCTACACGCGACAAAGTGGTCCCCTTCAAGTTCATGTATGCATATAGAGGAATGCCACTGATGGAAACGTCATCATCCGTCCTGAACTTGACCCAACTCTACATTCCGCTAGAGATTCTCTGAAATACAAGAAACGTCATAGAGCCAGTCTAAATAACTAATTCTGAAATGAACTATTTCTGTACCATCGTTCTATTAAAAAATAAAAAGCGTTATTTAATGTATTAATTTAAAGAGTAATCTATTATTTCTAATTTTGGGCATTTTCGCTAACAAGTTTTCCTCATTTAGATAAAACGTTGTTGTCCAGGGTCCACTTTGTGACACGGGTAGTTAACAACGGGGAGACCATTTCTGCGCCGGATATCACGGGAATTAATGTTTCAGGTTTCCACGTGATTTCCGTCAACGCTCTCTTGTATTATCTGATATACCTTGACGCACATAGAGAGCATTAGGCCCGCGCTTACGAATTAGGCTTGTGAGCGATGAGGTTGCTCGGACAAAAAAAAATTAACTTCGCTGGAACCCTCGTTCAATCTGGTGACAACAGCCAGAGCACGATTCTTCGAATGGTTTTTCAATAATGAAAAATAGAATCGAAGACTCGTCGAGACTTTGTTATTTCGATCGTTCAGCTAACATTGTGACTCTTCGAAGACTATGAAATGATAGCTATGCCTCAGAGACTCGTAACGATGTGTGGTTTGGCAGTGGTGGTGGCAATTTCAGAGAGCCGAACGTCAATCGGTATACGATCGTCGTAGAGAGTCGGTGCCTGAAGGATGATGCCAGCTGTACCGACGACCACAGCAAGAGTGAAGATCCATAGGAACAATCTGTCCAGAACCATTGCTACGTACTTCCAATCTTCCTTCACCTGTTGGACGTTAATTATGAGGATCAGCATCCCAATTCCAAGTTGATACCATATCGGCAACTTCCTTGAGTGTCGACTACGTACCCTAGTGGAGTCTTCTTCCCTCTTTGTGTGATCAGCGATGAACCGGATGCCCTCGATTGCCTTGTACAGTTCTGGGCAGTGATGCCAGTGATGGAGACTGTTGCAAAGAGCGTCGACGCTCTCCTGAGTTGGAAGTTCCTGAGGCTGTGCTGGGGCAGCTGGAGAACCATGGATCCGGCAGGAACTCCCTAGATTAACGGCCTCTAATTCCCTAGGATTAATAAGTGGAAGTGAGTAATATTGAAGCTAGGAAATAACTGTAGCTATACTTATCAGTTTATCAATATATATATATGTGTTTGTTGCAGTATAAACCTACCGGGGATTTAATTCATCTCGAGAATCAAGACTTGGAAATAGAACGGAGGACTCGACCAGCTCAGATGCTGATGCTTCGACGAACAGTGATGGATCTCGTAATTCGAGTCCATTACACGTTCTCACCATAACTCTATGACTATGATGGCCAACCATACTGCGTTTGTCTATTTGGTATTGCGGCCTGCGCATTGATAAATAGGTAAATGATTAATTTTTGTTTACAAACAACCATCCATGGTTAGTGAATCCGGTTCCATTATACTTTACCTGCGCATTACAAGTAGTCTTGGTAGAACGTGAATAAAAACGCGACGTACCCACGGCGCCATTACGTGGGTCTGTGGCGAACGGAAGTGCACGTTGAGAACTACCACAGTTACACATATGCTGGAACAGGATATAATGAGGTATTAATTACCTATGTAATAATGTATAACAGTATCACTGTTACGTAAAGATCCAATCTTTTTTTTACCTAAACGTATCCAGGATCATGGTGAAGAGGACGAACTTGCCAAGAAGCGGTACCACTAAGGACGTGGGTGGAATAATTTCAGCCAGCAGAAGGAAGAACACAGTCAGCGACAGTAGAATCGAAATGGATAGGCTGACCTGTGAATTGTGGATGATGCAAACAAGGTGATTTCACGTATGCTGATTTTTTGAAAGCATTACAAAAATAAAGCCCCCTCTTCCAGCTACACGAACGTTTAATAAAAGAGCCGGGTGCGATACCGTGAAAAGGGTCTTTGGACAAAATCACTGTGAAATCGGATTATCTCGGTCTGAATACGTCGAGGAAAGGGACTGCCATTTCACGGGACTTTTGCAGTTCCGATTACATATCTGATATATACATATAGGTTGTCCGATTGGAGAGGGTATTGTTTGACAGGTCACATCGATCTACCATAGCCAAGACTAGGAAGTTCAGAGACTGTGAAGACAATGGGATGTAAGCGGCTACCATGTGACTCCTGACCTTCTCTAAACCGAAGATGCAGGACAGAGAGGCTGGAGGACTGAATTATATACTAAGTACCGACCACTCGGGATATTGTTTTGAGGTCGAGAGTCGATGTAACTAAGGTCGAGAGATGTCGACTCATTGTACAAAAATCGATCCGAAAGTTGCAGTCCGTCCCTTAAGTATTGTATGGTACATTATGACGTGTGGGTTAAGTAGTTCAGTAAGTGACTGTACCTTGTACAGGCTCCTTTAGAAAAAAATCACAGTAGAGTAACTTTGTATAATCTAGACCTAAAATTTATACAATCATCTGCAAAAGTATTTTACATGACAAGTATGAAGTCTTCTTTTTTTTTAATATATGCAGGAAGAAGTGGATATAGATCAAGTGACCAGCTAACCTTTTCCCCGCTGTCGCTCGGCAGGTAGAAGACCAGGACTGTGAGGAAGGATATTCCCATACAGGGTATTATGAGATTAACTGTGTAGAAAAGGGTCTTCCTTCTCATGGTAATATTGAACGTGATGTCCAGATAGGGCTCGTCGCAGCACGTATAAAACTTTTCATTCCTGCAAAAAGAATCGCAAGTTAGAAACTGCGTCGACTTTCAGTAAGGACAGTGAACCTCCATATAGAAAGTATGTATATGGCGTACAGCGTCGCGTATTAAATGTAAAAAGAGGTAAAACCGAATAAGCTGACTTGGCTAATAATAATTATAATTATTCTTTATGTTTATAAATTTTGCCTGAGGAAGACACTGTTTCTTGTTACTTATTTATTTATATATTACACAGTGTTACCTCTCTTTATACTGTGAACAGTCTTTCCTCCCTTTTTTGTGCTTCCAATTATCTGCCAAAGATTCCTCGTATCGCCATTGGATTGAGCATTCAGTTGTAATAGCGTTAAATGCGATTTACCTTACGGCAGGAACCTCGAGTATGTCCCACTCCACGGATGTGTAAAATTCCGACAAGTCCACGCCAATTTCCACTACGTTGCTCCCCTGGACTTCGTCGATGTGCCTGAGGTCAACCTGAAGCAGGACGGATGCGATTTTCACATCGATTTTCCAGCTCGATGCTGTCCAATCGTAACTATGGAATTTCCATTGAATTTTTCTTTTAAATATCAACGGGCTTTCCCTCTTGACTTTTATTATTAAGATATTCATTTCCTAATATGTATATTATACATATACACTCTTTTCAATCGATAAAGTATCTTCTTACCCAAAAGTGAAATGAATCGCGTCTGGTACACAAGTCACGTAACCACTAAACGGATTCGTGCTTATACCTATAGGTAAACCAGACACTGTGCGGTTTTAACCCTCACGGATAGTAGGTACTCTAGTCGAGAAAATTCGTTTAGGGGTTGCTACCCCAGGTGGCTGGATATTTGACAAAGCCAACCCAACAACACACCCTCCTTTTTAGAGTATCGAATAGCAGGGACTTTCGGCTCCAATTAAATTAATAACATTCCTTGTTCGAATTGTCAGATAAATATGTAAATAAATTGGATATTTGTTTTTCAGATACATCAGGGAAATCTCTGTGGCCAAATTGTATGATACAATTAAATTATATAATACGAGACAAAGTGGGATATAAAACAGTCTGGCTAAGTTGGCCATTTGAAAAAATGGTCATTGCCCATGAAGAACTGCACGAGTCACAATAAAACTACAGAGCTCGATCGATCCAATATAAAACTGTGAGGATACTTTAATGCACGTATAAATGGGTAAGTGAAACTGTTTATCTTTACAGAAAATACTTTTGCGGATGAACTACATGCAATGTGTATAAGTTTGAATGGACATTTTTTTAGTACTGAAAAATGTCTAAAAAAGGCCAAAGAAATTCTGCTAAGATTTTTGAGTTGGTTGATAAAAATCTTATTGGTATGCGTTAAGGCTGTATCACAATAAAGAATACTTTTTTTTTCTCAGGTTTTATAAAATTCGTCAAATCCTAACGACACTGCCCTGAATATTTCGGACGCTTGTACATTATAATTTTACAAGATAGGAAAAAGAGCATGGGATACTTTAACGTAGCCAAGACTAAAATGCAACGAGTGCATTACGAGGTTTGCTTGTCCTCCCTAATCACAATATGCATAATGCATCCTCTACGTAAAGGTAGACTCACAGCGGCCGAGTTTCGGAAACGAGAGATGATTTATAAATCGCGGAAAAGCCGTCCGTTGGTATTTCGATATTCCTCAGAATCCGCGTAGCCCCTGGATGCTGCTATTACATAATTCAAAGATCGCTTCAGTAGCTGCGATACCGTAATTTGCAATGCAAATAGGAATAACTGAATGATGGAAATCAGTGGATTAGCAAAACGTCAGTTTTGCTTATATATATAAGTAAACGATTTTACCATTAGATACCATCAAGCTTTAGCCACTCAGTCATAGTAAGAAAAATCCTCAGTAAAAATTATATATATATATATATCTATGATTGCCTTTTCCTCTCTGAGCTTTCACTGATAAACTGGGAAACGTTGGCTATTTCCGTTCAGCTTTAATTTCGCCATAATTCAAAGTTTCAGGGTTTTCGATCGACTTCAGATTGCCGCGTGTAATGGCGCCTAGTAATTGAAACGAATTGATACGTCAAGCTGTTATAGATATATTATCTATTAGATATCGTAATTGCTTTGATACCGCTTGTTACCAATTATATTTTATAATACAACGGCTGTACCTGGAAGCCGTCGTAGGTCCAGGATCCGAATTTCATGACGCACGTCTGCTCGTCGAAGGGAAAGTACTCGACGTCAATTTCACAGGAAGACTTGTAGATAGCCGGTGGTTTCCACTCTACCCTTCCAGTATAGTTAAGGGTCGCTTTGGTGGCCAAGGTAACCTCAAAGTTCCCGTCGGCACTGAAAATATTATTAAATTTCCATAAGTACAATCGAGCAGTTTCAAATGAAATATATAAAAATTGCAGGTTCGCAGGACTAAACAGAGGACTTACTTGTTGTACAAAACTATATCGGGCCTCCATATATGATCGGATGGTACGTGAAGCATCTCCACGCCACCATACTCCTTAGGATCCCACTTCAGCTTGTAATCGTACCACGACTGAAAGGAAAGGAACGGGATCTCAGATTCTAGCTGGTTTCGTAGACTCCTGCAAGGTTACCAACGTGCCAAATTGTCATTGAGATATTATTTCTATATACAACCTGGACATTGTTGGCTGCCATTCAGTAAAAGTGGACACCACGGGTATTAAGAGCCATGGAATCTCTAATAACGTTAAGACCTACTGTAATGGCTGCGCTGAGCGACGCTTATACGTGTATAATATCTGGCCATGAAAAATTAATGAAGGCAAAGCTGTAATCGCGGCTGTATAATATCACGAGTAAGATATATCCTAGCCGCAGGACCGCAGTCTGTTATTTTTACTTTTGAATTTCTCGTCCGCATTTTCTAAGCAGGCGAATCGTTTATCCTGATAATGTATGCGTGGACAGCGATACTCGTGGCTTTTAGCGCGTTCACTTCTAATATTTGATGTTTGCTTCTGGAGCGAAGGGTAGACAGTATGCAAGCACTTATCGGAACAAACAAGAGTACTAAGAGCGAGATGAGTGGCCAGGAGTGGAACTCATGGATCAAACCTTGAATTGCTACCTTCAAAAGATTCAAGCGTTGAATTAAGAGAAAAATAAGAAGATAATACATACGTTAGATAAGGTTAATTTTACCATTTGATTTAATAGGCAATCGACCTAGTTTAATTGCAGATAATAAGTTCAATTCTCGAGTCAAATGAAAATAATCAATTTCTAGAGCTATTAAGAATCACGTAGTACCTACATCAGCTGCCATTATTCTGCATACTCGCTTACAATTGAATTATCAGTCCGCACTTGTGTGTATATCCAATTTTTCAATTAAACTGTACCATTTAAGGTTACAACTTGTATCGTAAAGCTCGTTTCGCATCGTGAATCGCCACGTCGACTCCCCACGGACGTTATCCTTTAGTTTGACAGGAAAACGCACAAAGGAGGTCGAGGTTCATTCATTGTCTTATACAGCGTCTATGCTACTGGGGTTAAACGAGTTTCTCTATGAGTTTCTAGTATCCATATTTTACATAATCCACTAGCCAAAAGCGGGTTGCACGGTTCGCTGAAGTTATTTTATAGCTTTCGACTAAAGTGTATCTTTGTCCCTGCGAGCGTATATGTGAATCGGACTTACGTACGTACCCAGTGTGCAGTCAGCGACTGTACGAATGCATTCCCATCGTTGCCGGTTATATAAGCGAAACAAAAATATTCAGCACGTTCACGGACTCCCTGGATTTCTCGATAAAGGAAACCCAATGTGTACTAAAGAACACGTTGACAATGCATTCGTTCCTATACGTTAATATGGTCGATTGGATAAAAAAAAATGGCGACAGTAAGTTTTGAAATTGTACAATTAATGGGTAAACTGATACATTTTTTGTTTTTCAGTTAAAGATTCGACCATTCGCTTTCAACGGACGTGCATCCAGATTCTTCTATTTCTTAACTATTCCTTGTCTTGCTAATGGACGTCTAAGAAATGGGCAGAAACACGAAGGGATCCTTGGTATCCTAACGAACGTTTGCCACTGAGTGTAATTAATTGCCTTTGGTAACCATTAGAACGATCCTAGACGCTCGTGACGTTAAGTAGCCGCTCGTTTATCCCTATGGAGATAATCACCTGTTCGACCCAGAGGTTCGTCGTCATGATCTGGTTCTTCAGATTCTGTGAAAATGCCAGAAAAGAAATTACAAAAACATTGGGTAAATTTATAAATGGATAAAACATGAGTAATAGAAATGAAGGATCTGAGAAGAGTGTCTTATGTCAATTTAAAAGAAAAATATTTTCTTCACTTCACTCTTCTCGCTCATGAATCTCAAAGCTTCTCACGTACCACGTCGATGAGTTGAGAAAGTTTGAGCTTGATCTTAACGGTGAGGGCGTCTGTGACGTTGACCACTGGTCGAACCAGCTTGTTGTAGTTCGACAGGAGGTCGTCGTAGAGTCGCTTTGCGTCTGGATTTCCTGAGCATCCTAGAACATATTAAACTGATAAGTATTGATTACCATTAAACATCAGCAACGTTACGGATAGACGCTGTGAGCTTTGGATTAATAAAAGAACCAAGTACGATCACGGTACGAGTGACGCAACGCTTCAGCATCCAATATGGCGATTGCTGAAAAGGTTAGTAATTTTGTCTATTGGTTGTTCAGTGCTCTCGTGTTATTTAGACTGTTACAGTTTACAGCTTGTAAGCAGAGCCAAGTACCCCATCCTACGGCAAGGACCACCCAGCGGCTATGGGTCTCGACATGGCAATTCATTGGCAGGAAGTAGCAGTGGCAGGATGAATGGAATGAGAATGAAGCATAGAATATAGCAATGGCATTTTAAACCCAGAATATTCTACCATGTTATTTCTACGTATGATCTCCGTCTTCCGGTGCTTGCCTTCGGGTGTGGCTGGTTCACTGAAGTCTTCGCTGACCACTTGATTCAAGATGTGAGACTCGATCAGGCAAAAGAGAAACAGTGGGTAATGACTGAAGTCCTCATTGACCGTCATCCAAGATGTAAGAGTCGATCACATCGATCACATCGTGAACGGTAAACATCTTAACTAAGCACTTGAGGAGCATCAAGACCCCTATACGTATGGGAACGAGTCACTGTTTGAGTTATTAAGTGAAAGAGGGTACCCTGGTGGTATTCTCGACAGGATCCTTAGATCAGAGGAACAGAGGAACTTGCACGAATGGCAAGAAGTAAGGAACTGTGAACTGCGAATCGTTGAACATTGACGGATGAAAATAAGATAGATCGAACCATCTCGAGGATACCTGAAGGATCTTTTAAATTAATAGATGGCCTTGTCCCTTGATGACGACAACAATGGCATACGACAAGTGGATTATTTATAGACAAATTGTATTAGACGAACCACTGATAATTGATATGAATATAATTGCTCAAGGGTGTTCAATCTCTGTGGGAATTGTTCAAAAGAATAATTATTAAGGTTTCGAGCCAGAACGTGGATCCTGAATATCAAAGAGGGTTGGTTTATTAGTCAAGTCAGTGTAACAAATTCAATGAGTTTGCGAGTCGGTAAATTTCGAGTTTGAAATTAAAGTAAAGTCAAATTCAAAGTGCTTTTTTTTATTGTATGTATCATCCTTACTGCTTCGATTACTCCTAGCATTTTTTATCTGTTGTATGTATGTACTTACAACAGGAGTAATTTGCTTAAAAAATTTCGGTTAGACAGATACAAGAAAAAACGAACGCGGCCATTGTTTAGCCTGTTGTCAAACGAAAATTATCTCTCTCCAACGGGAAAAGAATTCTGTGACTGTTCGAAGATTTTTCTGCCAACTGTCCTGCTGTATATTCTGAATAATCTCGGCGGATGCCGCGACCCGTCTTTGGAACGGATGTTCCCATTTATTCATAAATTTTCGTACCGATCTCTGACACCGAATGAGCAAGAATACTTTGCTCTACGACTTGCGCAAAGTCATCTACCGCGCAATTGACTCTAGGTACACTCCGATTAGTAATGGACCGTTCTTCTGTTTGTTCGAGGAAATTGATTCGGTGTTACCTAACTCGAAGCGTGTAAAAGCAAATAATGCGAAGCATCAACAAGACTTATACAGGCGCTTTTGAAATGTTACCGAGGTTCAGGTATCTGGGTACAATCTATGGCATAAAAATTATAGCATTAAAGAGTATACGGGGTCCATAAAATATACTATATATTATAATACATTAGCATATATAATTTATATATTTAAACCTTGCGATTCAAGTATATTTAAAATGAATGATATTATTTTGTTTGTAAAGTTAATCGAGAACGTGCCCAATCATACTGATCTATACCACCTCGTGCAGATTTCTTTAACGACTTAACACAGGGTCTCCTCAAGTTCTTGAAATTTGTATCGCTTAAAGCTCCTTTCTTTCTCCACCCCCCCCCCTGCCTCTCTCTCAGCCGTATCTTAAGCCATTGAAAAACCATTCTCGTATAAAGGCGTACGGTATCGGCTCCGAGTATATATATATATATACACACTCAGAGCTATAAAGCTGAATCAGATACGTGACCTGCGTTGCGCGAGAGGCATAAAAAACGACTTTACCAAGAAATCCTTATTACAATGACCGTTCCTCGATTCCCGTGGAATGATCTTGTGCCGTGAAATTTTCTCCAAGACAAATGATTATTCGACGCCCACCACCAGAAGACGTATAGTCCCAAGAAGAGGGACAATCGCGATTGGTGCCGATTGACATCGAATCTGATTTCTTTCCGGAAGCCACAAGAAGGAAAACGGTATCCCGTCTGGAAGTTACGTACTTTATGGGGGGATTTGGAAAGTTTAAGAAAAGAAGAACAAGCGGAAACGTTTATCACTCGGATGAATCCTGCATAGATATGAGTTCCCGGAGATCCAAATGTTCATGTGTTAAATGTCCATTTAACTTAGGTGCACTTCGATGCGCGACTTTGTTCAAAGGCTACAGAAAAAAAAGGCCACTGCGTATTTATTTCACGTACCTGATATGAGCACCAACACTATCCACATGATCCCCACCAGACTCTTCATGATGTCATTGTGACGTCACGTCCGCCTCATTTCTCCTCGTACTTCTTCCGTCTTGATCCTTCAGTTCTCAGTCTGGAAGCAAAAAGGGACCAAAAATATGTCCAAGTTACTCGGTCGTATATCATCTGGCTTCTCAGTGGATAAAAACCACTTAGATTAATATAACGACTGTTCAACATTTTTTTTTTAATTTACTTTTAGAGAGACGAGTAGGTAGCCGAAACAATGCAGACGAATATATTCCCACAGGGATGTATCGGCTGATAAAATTGCAAACGTAACGATTTCGCTGATTCGTTACCCTATTGCATATGCATCTCCCTATATCGTACGAGTCGGAATTTCAGCGTACAGTAAAAAAGCTGATTGTGATATGGAGATTAGTGAATAAAAATTTCAAAAAAAGACAGAAATACTTCGGGTAAATCAACGGAGCGAAAGAAAAGTTTTTTTTGTCTAATAATAATAATTTTTTCTCTCAGAGGAATCGGCCTAATACCTACAGTCGGTAAGTCAGCCGATCATTACCGACCGATTGCACAGAAGGGTGGATAGTGGTACACATAATTCATCATTTATTTTTCTACCACTCTTTATTTTCTCGTTACCCTTACACGAGGCTCTCGCGTCATCTTGAGGTTTGTTGGATAAAATAAAAAAATTTCATCCCTTATTTATTTCGGTAAACATTGTAATCTTCGACGGGATTGGTAATTGCAAGTAAAGTTACATTTGATTCGCTTTAGTGAATGATATTTAGAGATGCGGAAGGGAGGGTGGATGATGTTGAATAAAGAGGGGCGAGTTTTTGGAATTTCAAAAAAAAAAATTAATGCGAATACGTGGAACAATATTATGGAAAAGTTGATAGTAGACTGTCCAAGGGTTGGTACAGGGGGTAGTTCTGAGTGGCAGCCACTTATTATTATCGGATATTCGGTACAGAATCGAGTCGAGGTCGAGCGAGTGCCAATATGCTGTAATATGCAGACCCCATTCTACCCAACATCCGGTCAGTATTCGGCAACCACAAAGTCACCCCCCGCTGCCACCTCCTGTGCAGCCACCGAAACCATCCCCTTCCCTTCTGGCAATGTCTACCCTGCAGATATCTGTATCTACGGATCTTGCAACCTCCCTTGGTAGCGTCTTGCATCTAAGATACAGCAATTGCGCGACCACCAAAATGCAATTTGATGATCATCGCGTCGTACCAAGATTCATGGACCGGTACAAGACCTTGCAGCATCTGTTTCTACCCACTTGTACCATACACAGGATATAGATAAATTGATCATAATTCTTATTAGGTTCAGGGCACGGAGCATTGCGTAATTTCAGTGACGCTCAAAAAAATATTTTAAATTTTCTCAAAAAAAAAAAAAAAAAGTGAAAATACCTACTTTGACATTTGATATTTTTGCATCGACAGTCAGGATGGGTATGCGTACCAGATCATTGTAATCGGTTAAAAAGTAATTTACTAGGTAATACAACGCGTAAGAAGCCGTATGAAATTAATGAGGTCGTTATCACATGCTGTTATTATTATTACGAACATACTTTTCTTATATTAAAAACAACCCGACCTAACCTGTAGTGATTATAATTTACAATTTCAATGGCGAATAACGTATACGTAAATTGTATGCATTTATATGGAGTCTTGATTGGACTTCTTAATTGTGTCTTATCGTGTAGCAATTACAGTAAATAGGATATGCCTGGATTACAGGGTCCTATAATAGATCAAGGATAAGATCTATTATTGATGCTACTTACGTATATTGCGAGATAAATTATTCAGTATTTCAAGTGGCACTCGTTCCTCCCAGAATGACCTGCAGATTTTCAATTCCGCTCGCGGCGACCCCTAATATCTTCCTGATGCGAGAATAAAGTTGAAAAGATCGAATTACACGGTAGACATCGCAAATTTTAATTAAATACGTCAATCGATCGAAATCCCATGATTTATAGGATCGATATATTAAAAAAAGGTCCATCCATCAACATGCCCTTTGATGCAAGAGTAATCGAGCATTTTGTCAACACAGTGGTTTGTGTCCCTGACAATTCTCTGGTATAACCCAGAGCGACCGCTGAAAAATAAAAAAAAATATGAACTCCATTCAGCAGCCTCTTCCTCGTGCCCAGAATATGCCAAGATCAGCCAAGCAAAAATGTTGTGTCTAATCATTCCCAATCAATGGCATTTCTAGGTCAACGAGTTACAGAAAAGAAGAAAAAAAAGGGAGGTACTGTGAGCCGAAGTGTTATCAGTAGTAACAGATGCATTGGTAGATCATCCCCTGGCGTGGGGATATGTGGGATAAGGGATGATCGTGGCTGTTCCAAGTATGCAGGCAGAAACGAATGGCAGAGCGGGTACGGGGTGAGAATAAATTATTCAGTGGCTCCAAGGTAAACTGGGAGAGATGAGAGAATTTGCGACGAGAGAAGACCAAAGCGTAAACCAGCGATGGTTCGGACGAAGGAGCCCCTTGAACCTTTGGGAAGCAACAAGGATGACGCCGGTAGAGAAATTGATTGCTTTTAGAGAGGAAAAGAGTTACGGAGTAGATGTTTAACTTTTCCCTAGTCTCAGGCTGCTTCTTTGGACAACACCTTTGGACGTTCCTTCGCGTAGCCATTGTCAGGGTAAGATGAGACGAGGGACCGGTATCTAATTTTCTATAAGTCAAACAAGCTTGGAAGCGTCTTATATTATCACTATAGTAGACGTCTGATAGTCTGGTGGTACTGGTTCCCACGTGGACGATCTCTCTGTCTCTCTTCCGGTCCCTTCGCCCTGATATTCAATTATCCTCAGATAAGAGCCAGCTGAACCTCGATATCCTTACAGGACTTTTCTTTTTTTTTATCGCTCACACTGGATCCTGAATCGTTCTTTTGGGAATGAGACTGGTACTTTTTTTTCATGAAAAATTTTCCTAGAGTCGGATCCAATGACGTCTTAGGATACAGGGTTGTCCGACCACGTTGCAAGATCAGTGGGAACCTGACTGTCAGACGAAAGACTGGTGTTATTGGGCTTAATGGCACTGAATGGTAACAGGTATGAGTATATATATAATATAAGTGAATTGGTAATTTTCATTTTTCAGATAAATATGTTACGTTCAAATAGTTCACCGAGGTCATCCTCGGGTTCAGTAATTATCGGCATCATTTACGTCTCACTGGATCTCGTAATGCTGGAGCGTGTACGTTTACGAGGGGATGTAATAAAGTTTATAGTCTGTCGATATGCACGTACCAACCTAAGAATATGATACTGATATTATTCATGTATAGATATCTATACGTACGTGCTTCGTATAATAGTAGCGGATTTTAAATGTTGTCAAATAATATATACTTATATTCGTACAAAAAGATAATATAAATGATACCTTCAGAATATTCATCGTCACCATCGTTCTTAGGAAGTTTACTAAAGTGGTAGTTCGTGCTTTGAAATTTCGAAAATTGTCTTCATCAAGCTTCTGGGTGCCTCCCTTGTTAAGGAGTCTTCACACTGTACCGAAGTTAGTCAGAGTTGAGTACATATAGGTAGAAACAGAGTATATGCAGTTCATCGACTGAGTACGCGTAAGTGATTAGGTCAGGTATGAGGTGTCAGAAAAAGATATTAATGGGTGAAAGTGGAAGGGGTAGTTGAAAATCTGATCCCTTTTCCAGGGGTGATTCGACTGGGTGAAAGGTCAGCAGGGCGACGGAAGAAGCCGTAAGTAAGGGTTGGTTGGTAAAAGAAGGTGAGACTGTGAGGTTATTGTAACTAGGTCGCATCTCAAAGCTCGATATCGCCGAATACCCTTTGTGTCTTCTTGAAATTGGGTTAAGGGTAGTTTTAAGTAGGTAGAATTTCAATATCCTATTTTCGTAGGACTAAAAGTCATTTTATCGATTAAAAGTCAATTTTGCGTTATCAATTATATGAAAAAAAAAAAGAAATTCGCTTATCAATTATACCCTGGACTATACCTATATAGCTTAATAGAAAGCAGAAACTGAATTTCCGACAAAATTACAATCAACTTCATCTCGCATTGGATTTTTCCTGTCTTTGCAGAAAAACCACTCGCGGTCGATTGATCCGTTTTCGCAGTAAAAAAAAAAGAGCAAAGCCCTTCCGCCAGCTTCGTTGTCTCGAACAAGATCGATACCGTCCCGGAGATAAAGCGATAGGTTATCAGAGGAACTGACGTGCCACATTGACTGGCCAATCACCACGCTCTGTGATATACGGGTGTCCCAAAGAGTGATGTGTTTTTGAATGGAAAACCAGAAGCAATAAGCACCGAAGCTCAATCTGGCAGCCATGATGGATTTAAGCGATAAGTCAAATCAGCGACTATTTAAGATTGAAAAATAAATTTAAAAATGCCGTTAGAGTTCGTTAAACGTTAAACGTTAAACGAAGTGATTATACCCTGTGGCATTTATTATAGGACGAGGTTCATAAAGTTTCTTTTACCGATGAAAGTTAATCACCCACGGCTCGATGATCGGGGCAAGAACTTCTCCTCAGTGAAACATGCTTACAAGAGTGAGTTTATACACGGCCGCGTTAAGGCTCTCGAGGTAAACTTAATCGATACTATTTATCTTCCCCGTTGGCTAGCAACTTCGTGGTAAAGCAGATTTTTATTATCCCTGTGGACCATCCAGGACTAAATTTTATAACCATATACATCCGATATATAGGCATACACCTGCAAATCAACATACTATAACCTACAAAACTTTTTCGTCAAAAATTAAATAGTTGCCAAACAACATTTTCCACGATGCCGCAAAGATCAATAAAAATAACAACTAAGGCAAATCACTATTTATACAGTGTATAATGTACAACATTGGTTATACACGCCTTTCATAGGATGCGATACGCATTTCTAACAGATCACCCTCATATATATATATTGTATATATTGTACTGGATATTATAGCCACATATAAACTCGTCTTCTTCAACACTTCCCAAACAGCTGAACCCCCGACAATTCTCTGGCACAGAGTTCTCACAGATCGACCGACGCCATCGGAATTCTTCGTTGAGACTGCAGCTGTCAGCGAAAACGATTTCAGAAGATTCGCGAAAAGAATTCTCTGATTCCTCCGAGTCAGTGTTTCCCGGCCTTTTGTCATATTGTTCTTTACGAGAAGGCCAAGTATCCGATATAGGTCTTACGGTTAAACGTTATAATACACATGGATGTAGATGGGATACTTGGGAATTCTCTGTTTGCCGGCACGTGATAAAAAATTCCATTATTCGTCGTCTTTTTGAAAAACCATGATCCACCCTAAGGGCTCTATAAATCCCCATAGTCTGGCACTCTTGACACTACTACATATTTTACAAGCTGATTAAGTGTTCTGGACTTGCGCTCAAGCTGCTATCCGTTTTACTTAAACAAAAAAAATATATATATATATATACGACATATCTAACGTCCAGTGCCAGTTTTACAATGATGCTCAAGGCGATTCCCATGAAATTTATCGACCTCGTGTAGTTGCAAAGATGGTATAGCGAAGGTCGTTCTGTCCTTAAAGCAAATTGTGATCAACGATCCCAGCTTAACTTCTAGGTGTGCCACGAAGCCTTAAGACCCTTTCACAATAAGCGCCCTTAATTATGAAATAGTCGCTAAAGACCCGACTCCGCGAGGAGACGTCTGATAAATTGTCAGCTTTCTTGTCTCCCGACGATAAATTAACCTTGTTTCGTGAAAACAGTATTAAGCTTGATAACGCTTCGTAGTCGTATACATATATATTAAGTGCACATTTTCGATGCAACAAGTCACGCGATACAGTAAATTCCTTAGGTCATTAATGTCATTGATATAATTAATCTAGATACAATGTAATTTTAGTACCAGATTATAAGTAATTATTTAGCCTCTTAATAGCACATGGAATATCAACTTGCCCAACAATCCCTGGACACGTTCAATTTTTAATAATCTTTCTATAAGAATGCATATACATATTTGCACGTAAACGTGTAGAATGGCCTTCGAATTCCAGGACAATGTCACGCCAAGAATCGTACGAGGTTCCTGAATGATATATAGTAGGGTAGAGACGGGTATATATCTATAACGAGAGACATATTGGGATTTTCATTTAAACCTATGAACGCAATGGAATTCAAGGACGCCATGATACTAATATGCGCGGTATTTACTTACTTACTGAAATAATATTCCTGTAATGACTTCAGAGTCGATTTTATTCTTCCTTTCATTTTGGATATGCTTATACGGCAATCGAGTTACGCCTATACGAATTTTCTTTGACAGACACTGCGAACATAACCTCTCGAGCTATTATTACTTTGTCAGAAAATGCATAGGATCTGACGAAAACCACTGTCTCCCGATTCTCCATGAGAAAGAATAACGTGCATATTTTTATACTCGGTGTTCTTGGTGTAACGACAGAGTGCTCGTTCCTCCATTAATCCAAAACAATATGCGCAATATTGAATAACATCCTTTGTAGGGTTCCTGCGTAAGCCAAGCGCGCAGCTGTGTCGAGACAGCCGAGGAAACTGGTCTGCGCTCACGGAATACGTACAATATATAGATACGACGGCATACCAGCCAAAGTACTAGCTACGTTGTAACTGGCACGTGGGATGTCTGGATAGCAAAGGAACCCTTAACGTGACAATAGTACCAACTTGTGTGCTATTTGTCATCGCTCAGTCTGTTACTCGTTCCTTCATTACAAATATATGTAGAATATTTTCTGTGAAAGTTACACGATCACGTGGGACTGCGGCGACGAGAGGGAAAAAAGAGAATTACAAGAGAAAAACACAACCTCTTTCGTACTTTCCAAAGTACCGGCAAAGTTAATTAATAAATGTAACACGACGAACCTCGATCTTGTAGGTTATGTATATATGTTTCGTTGTGTACGTCCTAAGTTCTCGGTACAAGGAGAACCCCGGAGTCGTAATAACTTCGGGAACAATTTCACGATTCCACGGCGGTAACGGCTCGTGGCTTGGGACGTCGTGTCGAGTTTATACTGCTCGGCAACGCGAAAGTTTAACCATACTTTTAACAATGCTGCAACAGTTCGGATCTATAGGCAGAGGTTAGGTAGAAAATGTGTAAGGTTAGGTTTGGTGCGTCGTTAGATATAATATAAAACAGTCTGGTTATAATTCAGTGTAAATAAACACAAGCGCGGGAGACACGGGAATTATGTTTCGAAAGTATTTTCGAATTTTCACGGAATATTCGTCGCAGCTACGCCATTTGCTTCGCCAAAGAGATTTCTATGCGTATGGAGGTGCAATAAAGGCGGGGATAATAATGGATAATTCAAACTCAAACTATCAATGTCTTGTATTGAAATCTTTATCGGGAGCTTATGCTGTGGCTAATCATAGGGAATTTATGGTACCATTTAAGCACTTTGATTATTGTTACAAGACGGATCGTTGGGTTAACTTGCAATTTGGTGGGTTTGTGAGTAAGCACATAAGTCATTGTGCGCCCTGCAAATTACCTCTGGTCCACCTCAATCATGTTGGCAAACTGAGGAACGTATAATATGGTACATACGATCAGATACGTATGTATTATATACAGTCATATACACAATATAATCGATCAAAGTACATTATAAGCTTACATAGGATTAGTGTAGACATAACAGGCGCATTGTAATGCCTATGGAAAATATATGTTTTATGACTGAATAAATTTTCATTTTAATTATAAAATTTTACCGCTGTACATTATGATTTCATAAAATCATATCCTTTTTGCTCCCACTGTACTACGATGTTTTAGACGAGCGGATCGTTTCTAATATCTGGACTTGATCCCTATCAGTATGGATGTTGGTACCATATTATACAAGAGGGTTGGTACGTCGTTGTCTCTAGTGAAAAATGACGTGGCTCGGTTCCCGCTCGGGAAACTTTTCCTTTCCTCTTAAAATATGGATATTGGAAAATTGGCATTGTCAGCGACATCTACG